GTGAGGCTTTTAAATAGTTTGCTTTAGTTTAGTATCAGGGACTCTCTCTCAAAAGTCCCCAAAAAGACAGTGAGACAAGTCTCTGCGTGGGCCGCTGCAAAAAAAGGCTGCAAAGCCAAGCGCATGATTACCATGGCAACAAGCATATTTTAATATGCCACTTTGGGCCGTTATGATGCGTTTTGTTGTTTAGTGGTTTGGAGCTCAACCAACAGCAAAGATTTCCTCTTTTATTCATTATCATCGCTCTCATTTCACAGCTCCTCCACTGTGTGGCACATTTTATAGAAACAGTTGCTAATCTGGCCATTTCACACCACTGTGCCGCGAAAGCTCTCGCCAGGCAACGTACGGAGAGGACACCATCGTCTGCCAAAAGAGCTACGTGTGAACTGGTTCATCCAAAAGCTTGCCCAGTTTTCACAGAGCAATCAGGGTCTTAAATCGCAGCACATGTTGTGGCTCCAGCTGAAAAATGTTTGCCTGTTTTTATATGAGTCCGTTTTTTGGTTTTTTTTCTTGCTTCTCCTGTGTTTCACTTTTCAACTGAAGTACAGTGCCTTGCAAAAGTAATGATGACCCTAGACCTTTTTATATTTTTATTTAATAACAACTGCAGAGTGTGTGACCTTTCAACTTTGGCTATAAGAAGGAGGTGTGAAAAGATCTCTTCTTCATCTTAAATGACTTTTCTAGGTTTTAGATTCTGTCAAAACAAACTTTTATTCCCTCCCTTATTGTTGCTTGCTTTTTTTGCTCTGAACAAACAAATACTGACCTTGCGCAAAATGTATATATCAGTCACTAAAATGTGAAACTGCTTAGTCAAGAAATAGATTGTTGACATTTCTGATTCAGAGGAGACTCTCAAACACTTAAAGAGTGTGTTCTCAGAAAAGATCATGTATTTGCCGGTCTGCTTTTGATTAGTTGACCAGTTCCTTGTGATAACCCCTGACCCAACACTAAGACAGGATCTACCCATCCAAACAAAACCCTCCAGGAGGTGGCCTGCACCGTAGAAACAAACACACATCACTGCCACTGCAACGTCAACACAGAGAGAACCACCACCAATATCAGAGACCTCATGTGGCCCCAACCAGCAGCACCAAAATGCCCCAATGCCAGCAAACCCAAAGAAAAATTTCTGAAGTTTAGACGTTGCTTTTAACCCTCATTATTCCAATACACATGAATACAATCCAGTAAAAATCAGAGATGTGGAAAAGTTTAAAATCAAGTAAGTCTATAAAACAATAATAGATAATAATAATCCAATACATAATAAGTATAAACAATAAATAATAAAACAATATACAAAGCTTTGCACACCTTACACAGAAAATTAAAACAGTATGGCATGGCTTTTCATGTCTTCCAAATCTGAAAACAGTGGCAGTTCTTGCATGACTGGTGCCCTGGGCAAGCCCTCCTTCTTCTACCACCAACCAATTAAAAAGTATTAACAGAAATACATTCTCAACATAGGGGGTGCCAACTTTTCCCTAACTACACATGCAAAAATATAATAGAAAGCTTCAGGACACCACTAACAATCTGGTGCCCCAACTCTGCCCTGGGCATCTGCCCATGATATCTAAAAAAGTTTAGAGCGTGAATGGGCTAAAGTGAGAAACACTTTCATTAATACATGCTTGTGTGCTTTATATATTTTGCATCTATACGTGTACTTCACTAGTGCATTTAGCATTCAGGTAGGTAGCAATCTACCTTTTCACACAGAGAGTGATCGTGTTCCCAGTGTGTGCAATGACCTTACAAAACACTGACAGCTGCTGTGAATGGGCCACATGCACCTCGACTGTCTGCACACGGCGAACTGCATTCAAAATCACAGCATCTGCTTGTGAGTTTGAATATTAGCATCTAACAAATTACAAGTGTATAAAGAACAAAGTTAGCTCTAAAGCCTTTAGAGATTTTGAGTAAAAGTTAAAAATGTCGACTTTCACATTCGATTGAGAGTAGTGTCATTAAACAAAAGCCAATGCTGTTCTAGTCCCATAGCATAATGTGCCTTCTACACAACAAATGTAAAATCTGTACCACATTCAAATTCAATTTAACACAACAGTGAGTCGCTGCTATAAGTAGAGTAGATTCTGTCAGTCTGTAACAAGCCGAGCAAAGGTGTTAGTCAGCAAACTGCAGAACTCAGGTGGAAAATGAGGACAAATGGATTTCTGGAGGGATTTCTACAACTTTTAACCAACTACATTGAAAACTTAGCTTGAAAAAACAGAACATTTTGGCATACATTTACATCCAGCCCCACTCAGTCAATATTTTAGGTATGGAATAAATCCATTTTCTGGAATTAATCCTGCAAGTCTATAGAGACTTTACCAGCTTTGAGAATCAAAAAGCTTGAAATTTCACCCATTTGTCTTTGCAAAATAACTCAACATCAACATAGATTCTTAGTTTAGTTTAGGTCTAGGCTTTCCAAATCACTAATGAACCTGGTTTGCTCTAAACTACTTAATTTACAGTTTTAGATCTATGTCTGGGACCATTTTCTTATCTTCTTTGCCAAGTTCTTATGGAAAACATTTTGCTGTTCTTTAATTATTGCTTTCATGCCAACCCTGACACATATTAAGTGAACTGTCATAATTTTACAGGTTTCCAGTTTATATACAACATGTTAAAGTGGAAATTAGAATTATTCACTTTTATGTCTGAAAACAGTATACAAGCCTGAGGTTGAAATGTAAGAACTCGGTTGACAACTTCAAAAGGTGTTCATGCTTTTGCAATGCTCCCTTAGAACATACACACACGTTTTTCAAACATTGAATTTTGGACTGAATTTGAGAAACATGCAATGTTGCAGAGTGTGCGCTGCAATGTTTTGGTGACATTCATGTGTTGTAGTTTATATCAGTGGTGTCCAAACGTTTTGTTTGTCTAGTTAAAAGCAATCATGGGCCACACAAAATAAGTAAACAAAAATCTTAATGTCTCATTTTTGTAGAAAAAGAATCTGTGAATCATTTTCAATTCAAAACATAAAACACTATAAGTTGTTGAGTCACAAATAATAGCGAACTTAAGAAATGATTAACACCATAACCTATTCAATTGACAATTTCAAAATGAAAATAAATGGGAATAATAAATTAAACAAAATAATTTAAAAAAAGAAAATCTATAATACACAGTAAATCACTCAGAAGAATCACACAGAAACAAACTGAATTTACGAATACGAAATTTGCATAGTGATATATATATATATATATATATTATTAATATATATATATATATATATATATATATATATATATTATATATATATATATATATATATATATATATATATATATTATATATATATATATATATATATATATATATATAGTCAATTTGAATCAAGTGCATGTTGCAGCCCGCATTTGGTAATCGATAAATTTGTTGCTGCTTCTTTCTTTATAATAAAAAAGGTGAATCTGGAGCCACCATGCCTTTACGCTGTTCCTATGATATTGATATATTATTACCAATATAAAGTGACAAGCACCGAGCTACAGCCGGGTCGATGCTCAGTCGCCTGCCTGCTCTCATTACACCTCAGGCAGTATCACAGCTCACTCACATTACACACTGTCTGGACTGCCTCAGAGTCCAGACAATGTGTAATGTAAATCCAGCTCATAACCACGTCCAGCCAAGATACAGTTCATCATAGCATTCTTAGAAAAGCGCTATGAAATTAGACAGACTTGTCTTTATTTTTGCCCTGTTGCAAAGTGGAAGTGAAAATGAACGGTGTAGTGCTTTGATGTTTAGAACAACTCATTCTAAGAAGTCTTAAATAACAGGTGCCTGCTAGAAAATAATAGTAATGAACATGATGGAAGCTATTGAATATATATACATATATTCATTTGATGTTGAATTATGAGGAAAATGAATTGACTCACTGATTTATCAATTATAATGCCCACATTTTATCAGTTCTATATTTCTGACTAACATCAAAGCATACCAACTGCTTCCACCCTCAGGTTGGATTTGATAACTCTGTTTGGAGCTTGTAAAGATAAAGGTTTATAACACGACAAGATTTTAAGTCTTGAGGCCCAAGAGATAGGAAAGCAGAACTCAGTTGAGCCGCAGCTCAACTGAGTTCTGTTGGAGGTCAAATCAGACGCGCTGCCCACACTGCAGAGCTGTCTCTCCATGTCACACAGGTGGAGAAGTGTTTAGGTGTGTGGGAGAGAGGCAGAGGAGAAAGAGTGCTCTTCCATTCTGAAAATATAGTGCATCTTTGTGCATCTAAGGGCAGGACGGAAAGTTTGTACGGGACGACAAGCAAAGGAGAAGAGTGTATGAGCCAAAGTAAGAAACCAAAACAATGAACAAAAACGAGGTTCGTAGGAAACATCTGAAACTTCCTGATTCATTGCAAATGTGAGAATAAAGACTAAGGATGAAGTTTAAAATGTGCAGCACGCAGAAGAAAGTGCTGGAAGAAGTTTTAAGTGATTTCATCCAAGTCAAATATTCTGGAAACTGATCATTGAGGAAGACTAAATTATGTGGGATCTTGTCAAAGCTGTCATTTAGTTATTGACATTTAGTTATTGAGTGCTTAATCCCCAGAAACACAATGTTCATAATCTTCATTAATTGGCTTTACGTATCTCACATGTAAACCAAAACTGGATCTCGATTTCTCATGTTGCCTTCTTTTAAAATTCATCTGCGAGCTTATTTATAAAATAAAATAAAAAACATGATGCTTGATGTTTGTTTTAGCTCATTAAAGCTTTCTTAAACTCAAACTTTTCATGTCGAGTATTAAAGCACATACAAGGACTAAGATCAAAAATTATTTTTGAGATAAAGACTGACAGTTATGATTTAAAAGAATTGAGTATAAAGGTAAAAACAAAAAATGTGGACTGGTATGAATGTTTTCCAAGCCTCTGAATCCAGCAAACACATATCTCTGAGTCACACACACACACCTGTACTTCATGCCCGTGTGTTTGCCGGTTGACTCCTTCAGGGAGATGTGTCGGGGAGTGAAGGAGCCGAAGCTGCGGGCGATGATGGCCACAGTGCGGAACTTGGCCCTGGCCTGGTTCACCACGTTGGGGCTGGTGGCGTTCTGCTTGCTGTGGTCCCCATTGCCCCTCTTCAGGTTGTGGTCCGTGCAGGCGATGGACACCTGCATGGCTGAGCTTCAGGAAAACTCGTAAAAAAAACAGATGAGGAGAAAAAAGGAAAACTGATAGGAGAACCTCAATTCTCTCAGTCAGATCTTCTAAAATATGTTGATTTGTCAGAGTCGCTTTCCTTCCCCCCCCCCCTGTTACTTTTGGAGTTCTTTGCAATTTTCCTGTGTATGGATTAAGTCCTTATTAGTTCACTTGCAGAAGCTCCGTCTTCATCACTTTGTTCTTTAAGGCAAAACAGTCCTTTTCTCCTTCTTTCTGTGCTTAGACTCAGCTTTCCATCTTCAGTCTTTCCTCTCAGAAGATTAACTGCAGAGTAGCCAAGACCCTGGCAAGAAGGACTCCTCAGTTCTTCTTTGGATCCTCAATGTAGTTCCTCATTGGTTCTCTCTTCTCTTGCGGCTTGCCTATGAAGACGAGCTGTGGGATTTTAGCTGCAGAGAGGAAACCAGAGAGAGAGAGAGAGTGCGCTTGCAGAGGGTTGGCAGAGGAAGGAAACGGGAAGCAGAGAGAAGCAGAGACGCGATCCAGGCGCTGCGCTCTCCCTGGTCTGACTGTGGGAAACAGTGCGCGAGGGATGGCATGTGAGAGAAAAATAAGAGGAGGGTAAAGGAGGAGGGGACAGGGTCAGAGCATGGAGAAGGAGGCAGGGTACAGATGCAGCATGAACAAGGTGGAGGGATGGGTCAGGCTCAGGACCTGGGAGGATACACACTTCTACCATCAGCACTTTTTCCGTCTTAGCTCTCACATGCTTCCTAAATTTCACTGAGTTTCACTAATGTGCGTGTGCCCCAGTTTCCCCACATTTCTCTCTTTTTGATCTGCTCTCAGTGTTTGGGTGCTCAGCTTCTTTTGACATCCCCTTTCTGTTGTCGATTCTGTGAGCAGGGCAGCATCACAGGCAGCGAGGAGAGAGAAATGTAGTGCTTCACACTGTTCCTCTCCATTATTCCCTCCTACTTGTTCTCCCCGTGTGTTTAGCTGCCACTCCACCTGTCTTCTTCCTCCTCTCATTGTTACAGTGTTTGACGGCCTCCCTCCTATTTTCTCCGTTTTTTCCCCCACACATCAAACCATTTGTTCTGTTTGAACACTGAACAGAATGTTTTTCTTGTTGTTCTTTTATCTAGGCCATGCTCTATTTGTTCAAACAATTATGCGCAGGTTGTATGGATCTGTCCTGTCATCATTTGGTTCATGAAGGAGATTATGTTTCCCAGAGACAAAAAGTTGTGTGAAACAATCCCATAACAAAAGCCAAAGGCTTTGAGAAGTCACAGACCAAAGCTGGTTCCAGAGTATCATTATAATGATTGTTCATTTTGGTGACATGTCCATCTTTCCATCCATCCATCGTCTTCTACTAAGTGTGGAGTCAGGTGGTGGGGGAAGCAGTCTAAGTAGAGAGACCCAGACTCAACCACTCCTCCAAAGAAATCCCCAAATGTTCCTGGACCAGTTGAGAAACAGTCCCACTGAGTCCCATCAGGTTAGGGCTCCTCTCAACATTGACTGGCTCCTCTTGATGTGTAGAAGACGTGGCTCTACTCTGAGTCCCTCTTAGACAACAGACAGCAGGTAACCTGCAGAGGAAATTCTGTTCAGTCTCTTGTAACCACAGTTTTGTTCTTTTCTACCCAAAACTCGTGACCATAGATGAGGGTAGGAACAAAGATCAACAGGTAAATCGAGAGTTTTGTCTTTTGGCTAAGCTTTCTTTTACCATAACGGATCCATATCGTACATGCATCACTGCAGAGGTAAAACTAACCTAGCTACCTGTCTCCAATGTTATCTATTACTCGGGCACATAGCGCCATTTTACAGCTCAATTAAGTAACTATGTTTCATAACTTAAAGATAAACTGACTTTGAAATTTCACGCCACAAAATTTGCTTGTGTAAGAAGCTCCTGCTCTTTCTGACACTCCTCTTTTGTTTACAATCGTTTTTAGGAGTGTTGGACTGTGATGTAGTTTGTGTGATAAGCTCAGTAGATGTACAGCGTTTGATGATTGCTGCTGCTGCTAGTCTGGAGGAGCTGAGTGGTAGAAGAGTGGGCAGAGATTTTCTGTGAAGGGGAAGCTCCAAGCAAGCATCTGCATAGTCTGAGCAAGTGCTTAGGCACATCCGAACAGCTGCCTTGGGAGATACAAAACTTTCTCAAACATGCATAAAAGATTCAAAGCAACACTTCATGTACAGTTTCTCATGAAGAATTATTATTATGTGATATGTAGCTTAAAAAAGTTGATTTCACATAATAACCCCGCCTCCCTATAAGGTAGGGCCTCGTCCCTAACCTTGCTCTCAGATTTGGAGATGCTTGTTTTCATCTTGCTCTGTCTATATTTCTCCTTCCCTCTGCCTGTCTCTCAGCGCAGCTGTTGCACATCTCCTACTTTCCTCTGCCAGTTCTCTTCCCCAACTGTCTCTACTCACCTGTGAGTAGCTCCTCTGGTTCGCTTGCTGTTCTCCACTATATCCTCAGCATAAATAACTCCCCCGTTCTCCAATGGTTCCTTCCAATGCATTCTGTGATATTTTCATTTATTCTTCCCATATTCCTTTCTGTGTCATGTCAGTTTTGAGAGAGTTCTCCATTTGTGCCTTGCTGTAGCATCACAGCAGGGCAGAGCATGGATTTATCATTAAAGCATTAGCACTCCACTTCCTCTGGTTGTCCTGGGTTCCACCTAAAGCTGCTTGGTTATATATCCTGTGTGTTGTTTTATGTGTAAATATTTGATTTTAACACATGATAGACACAGACATGTTATTTCAGCAGCAGGTTAATCTGGGCAAAATCCATGTACTACAAATTGGCTGCAAAACTAAACAGTGCATCCATAGTTTTGCAACAGTAGAATGTGTCTTTCCCCAAAACCAATATGCTCCCTGCACATCCATCCACATGCATGAAAATGCTTAAGAAGTTTCATAATATTCTAGTCAGGGAAATATTTGCTGACACAAAGTAATTATTCTCCCAAAATCACATAACAGGCTGCGCATTCAACCCCTACAGGCAGCATTGCATCAAAGATGGAAGGAAAAAAACGATAGTTGAGATCGAGGGAGATGCTAAGATGTAAATCTAGCGAGAGTAAAAGATTTGGACTGAGGCAATCGAGAGCTGAAAGGAGAAGAAGTTTCTGCATCTCTGTGTGTTTTTGCACTTCAAAGAGTGTCCATTTGTCCATATGGCTATGTATTTTACAAATGCTTTGGTGTGAATCACACTTTCCTTTAATTCTACAAGGATGTCAAATTGAGGTAACTGGAGCATTTTGCTTCTCGATGTCCTTTGATTATTGCTGTCAAGTGTTTAAACTTTTTCTCATCTGTAGTCTACAGGCTTCCACTGCTATCAGTTTCACCTCTTGACATTACCGCTCACCAATTCTGATGTACTCTGTGGTACGATTAAACACTCACACGCAAAGTCAGAATCTGTGTAATTGTTTCAGGATTTGCAGGTTTTTGTTGGGGGCAGAGCAGCTGATAATGTGCATTGGCTTAACACCTTTAAGGCTCCATGGACATTCGTTTTGCTGAGGTATTTCTCAGGAAATTGCTTCTGCATTGAGGGAGCAGTTTAACTCTGAGAAACACGGAGAAGAGGCACTCTCACATTCTGCACATTTCATACTGTCTGTGCATCTGCAGCATCCTTCACCTCACTGAACCTTACTTACAGCTCGAGACCCGTCTTAGACTAAATGGAAAAGCGGCTCATTCAAAATCAATATCTGTCCTCTCCGAGGAGGATGGATCCACAGATTTCCAAACAGATCCAGACAAGAAAGCAAAGTGAACTTCTTTCACTAATGAAGAGTGAAATGTGCAGAGGGATTAACGACTGTAAGTAAAGGACTAAAGGATTAAAGGATCGATAAATCGTTTTCTATGCATTTCCAAATAAATCATGCACCCTGTTATAAAATAGTCACCAAACGACTTTAAATTAACTTCATCACATCAACAGAACACTGATTTATTCCAGTGTTTAATGACTTAAATTGAGAGCCCTTATGTTTGAGGGACGTAGTTCAGTTAGAGTTAACCCACCCTGCCTCAATCTGTGAACCAAACCCAAACATGCTCTGTGTTAAGACTTGTAGATTTTTCTGAAAACGTTGACAAAACTTTGGCAAATATCACATATTGTCTCATGAGCTGGATTGATTTTTAGACAAATGGACTACAAATTGGCTGCAAAACTAAACAGTGCATCCATAGTTTTTCAACAGTAGAATGTGTCTTTCCCCAAAACCAATATGCTCCCTGCACATCCATCCACATGCATGAAAATGCATTTGAATTACTGAAATGTATTTCAGCAATTCAACTGAAGAAGTAAAACTTTTATTCTGTAAATGTAATAAACACAAATAGATTAGCTTTATGCATATATTTCTGCTAACTTTGGTTGTAGTGGCTTAAAAACTAAAATTTGAAATTGGGGTTCTGGTATCAAGGGTATTACTGCAATGTGTCTAAAATGACCAGTATCTACTTTTATTAACGTAGACTTGCTGAGTTAACATTTCCAATGAGAAACATAAAAATATAAAATTTGGAGAAATGAGTCGTCATGTATTAGAGACATTTTGGGAGTTTTTCACTGTAGCTCTCACCTCATAAAATAATAAATTTAGAAAATGTCTCCCAGAAAGGTTTACCAACACTGTCTTAAGATGCCAACTTATTCTACCTTTGCACTTTTTATATGCTTGTATGAATGTGTTTCAGATGTAATGATTAAAAAACCCATAGTGGGATCCTCTCTGTCTGTGCTGCAGTAAACTGACTCATTGCAGCCTGTGATGTTTGCCTCTGCTCTTCCAGTTGAGCTAAACTCAACCTGATTCATCAGTCAGCTTGGGAGAGCTGTGCAGCTGTGTCCTATCTCAGTTTTTATGCAGAAGGTTTGTATCAAAATATTTTTAGCCAACCAGTTTGCTTACCATGTTTGCTTACAGAAAAGCATCTCATTTGAGGGTAAAATTCATCTTTTTCTCTTTGATTGGTTCTCAGGTCTTCAACTCCCTCCTCCTGATTGCCATCTCTGTTTTGTTTTTGTGCAGCTGCACCTGACCTGTATCCAGCAAGTGATAACTTTCGTAACTCTGAGTGCAAAGCTCTGCCTGTGTCCTACTTTAGCAGCTGCGTGTGTACGTTGAGTTCATGCTGCACTTGGTCAGCAAAAGTCTACTTACAACTCAGTGAATTCCCATTGAGTTGCCTTTTGCTAGAGCTTAGTTTTGGTGACACAATTTAGCTATTTTAGTGGCTTGTCAAGACTCTGAGGGAAACTAAAAAACGACATTCTCATGTGTTTGAGCTTTGAATATAATCAATTACAGCCTAAAAGAACAGATTTAAACGACAGCCACAAATCTACAAAGATATGCAAGGCCTGAAAAGTCGTCTCATTTACAGAGAGGCGCAAGAGTGTCTGCTAAATTTCTTCTGTTTTGGATTTTTCGTCACACCAAAATGTCTCAGACCATGAAAGAAATATGATATCTAGATATTAAGATGTCCATCTTATAAAAATAAAGGGGGAAAAAAACACAAAATTACAATTGTTCTATTTCAAAGAAACACAGCCATTACCAACAAATGGCAAGAACATGGAACAATA